ATCCAGAAAATCAACAACAGTGGCCCAGAGCAGTTCTGCAGACTTGCAATGTGGAGGCTCTGTCCCTGGGAAGAGCCAAATGTAATGTGTAATTACAAAAGTCACATACACACACATCTTGGAAAGAGAGATCCTTCTGGGAGGATAGTGACTAGGGAGTTCCGTGACATTCATGTCTGTAAATCTGCCAATGGCAAGGGGGTATTTCACCTGCATGTGGAAACCAGCAAAACATAGCTTTTCCTGAAACTCAATACTGTGTCAATAAACTAGACTTAAACTGCTAGTGAGCTTAAAAGGAAGGAATTGAATCGATCACTTTTATAGGACCACGGTTTATTTAAATATGTGCCAGGACTATGGAATTGCAGGCTAATTTGGGGGAAGCTTGAGCCAGGAAGTAAAATGTTGACAAATACCAAAACTTTGTAATTTCTAATATTTATATTTGTCTTACAGCTCATCTTGACAAGCCCACAAGAATCTTGGATTGAAGGATCCACTAGATAATAAACAGAAGATTTTTAGGGCTTCTAATGACTAAGCAACGATTTACAGTAAGACTCTTTCATTGGTTTGAAACATTATTTATTAAACACTCTGTGTTCTCTGAAGCTCTGTATTATTTTTGGCTATAGCTTCCACCTAATGAGCCACATGTATAATTTACAATTTTCTAGTAGCCACACCAGGGTGAAAAGAAATAGGGGACATTAACTTTAAAATATTTTAACCCTAAGTATTAACTATTATCTATTATCGATAAACTTATTATTATTTAAATATGTAATTGGTAGAAACATTTTAAAAGATATCTAACACTCTTTTTATTTTTTTTAAATGTCTCTGAATCCAGTGTGCACTATACACCAGTAACACATAACAATGGCTAAATTTTCAATGATTAAAGGGAAATATAGTCCTAAAAAAAAAGAAGCAATGTTTAATGGAAGAAGTAGTTCATTTTGCTCAAGTTTTTCATTTTACATCTAAATGAGTATAAGTGAAATCAAGCTACAAGTTCAGTTCTTCAGTCCCACTGGCCACATATCAGGAACTCAATATCCACCTCTGACTGGCAGTTTCTACACTGGACCACTTGTAGTTACTTAAAGTATAGCATGCAATTTTAACAATTCACTTATTATCTGCAAGTTTAGGAAGTGGAATCCATAAATTATAAGTGGTTTGTATTTTCTTAAAGTGATCTTAAATAGGAAAAATTTAATCTTACCTTCATCAAGTCATAAATCTTGTTTTTTAATATGGTTGAAAGACCACAAATAAATTTTTAATATCTACATTTTATCATAGACATTTATGATATGTTTTTGTATATTTTTACAAAAAATACCAAGATAGAAGAAAAAAACTCCTTGTATTTGCAAATGTAATTAATGTTGACATCTGTATTTATGTATCATAAAATCTTGTATAAACATACTTTGGTGGGGTCAGAAGAATGTTTTAAATAAATGTACCAACCCACCCTACCTACAGTGCCATTTAGAACAAAATAATAACACCAAGTGGATCTGACCTCATTTTCAGCTTTTAAATTGCTCCTATAAGGTAAGTAGTCACTGCCATAAATCTATACACCAATTATTTAATATTAGGATTCTACTGTCAGGTGTTGAAATTTTGCTAACAGTTCTTAAAATCAAATGGATCTGAAGTTTACATATGAATTTTGAAATAAGATTTTTTACAAAATATTTGATAATGAGTCCCTTTGGAATTACACTACAAATACTTTTTCCAGATGTAAATTATAGAATTGGGCATTAGTGACATGGCATGCACATGTCAAGGTTCACTGGGGTATTAGTCAGACTTGAATCTCTTTGACCAACATACCTGATAGGAACAACTTAGAGGAGGAAAAATTTATTTTGGCTCGTAGTTTCAAGGTTTGGTCCTTGGTGGGCCAACTACATTGCTGCAAGCCCAAGGCAAGGCAGAACATCATGGCAGAAGGGCATGGTAGAGGGAAATTACTCCACTCATGGCAGACAGGAAGAAGAGAGAGGCACAAAGGAACCATAGGAAGGATGGAAGCTTCCAGGGCACATTCCCAGTGACCCACCTTCTCCAATCACACCCCTCCTGCCCACAGTTACTGCCCAATTAGTCTATTCAAACTAGAGTGAACTGATTAGGGTACTGCTTTCATAATCTAATCACCTCACCTCTGAACATTCACGCATTAACACAGGAGCTTTTGGGGGACACCTCATAGTCAAACCATAACATTGGTAAACCAAAATAGTGTTCAGTAATAATGTTCAGTAATAAAGTATAGTAATCTTTATTCTGTTGTGCTATAATGATTCAGTGTTCTCTCATTCCCTTTGACTTATACAACCTTTGTCTCACCTGTGAACAGGACACATGTCACACTGCATGAAGGCATCATTTGTTATAAATGCAGATATTATGCAAATAGAAGATGAAAAATTGCTATTTTCTTCTATATGTAAAGCTTACATAGGCTCAAGAAATGGCTGAATTAGGACCATGTTGGAAAGATGTACAAACTAATTATACTGCACAAATGTCTGGGAAAATGAGAACAAATTATTTAGTCTCATTACAGTCTTTTCCCAGTGGCTGATTGGAACTCTGATGATTCTAAAACTACCCATTCCAATGGATTTTACTACCTTACAGCAATTCTCTTCTGCTGGTATTTTTTTTTTTTTTGAGACAACAACAAGATCTTTGAAAAGATGTTGATGCAAAAATTGTCTGTCAGCCCCAACCAGAGTTCTTCTCTCAACTCAATTCATGGAAAAACTATTTGCCTGTATTACACAGCTAATTCTATACTGGCAAAATCTCCAGTTTGATATTGGGAGACTTGAAAGCTCTTCCATTCTTAAATGTTTTTTTCAATAACCTTTACCTAAATGGTGTGGTAAATCATCTGTATAAAATAATAAGTCTTTTATTTCTTTGCAATATGGTAACTGGAGACGGGTTGGGGGAAGCATGCATTTGATCATTTCATGGATCTTTTGAGATGAGTTGAGAACATCAGGCCATCACCTGTGGCCAGCACAGAAAGATGCAATTCTGTTGATGGAATCAACTGTAACATGTGTTTCTGTTATGGAACACGTGCTCAGAGAAAACAAAAGGGATTGGATTTATCTCCCTTCAAGCAATAAGCCTTTGAACCTCTTTGGATGAACATTCTATATTAAAAGCCCAAAGCCTCTGTTTTCTGGGGTTGAACATAAATCTAAGCTTTAGCAGATATCTCATGAGAAAAAGAGAGGTGATCTAAACAAAGAAAGATGTGGCCATGCTGGCTTCAAAATACTTTGTGCAAATCTTGATTATCATTAATGTGGGCTTACTGAGAAAGTAAGACATTGAGGAATGTTAGAAGCATTGATTGGGACTTGAGATTTACCTGTTCCAGGTAAAATATCAGAGCTTTATGTACATAATTTTAAAAATTGTCTTCATAATGCCAACATGTGGGTGATGTTAACAGCGTTAGGGAAGTTAAGTGACTTCCCGAAGTTTTCCTAATTGGAGCAAGGCAGAGCCAGGATCAAATCTGGATGACTCTATCTTGCAAGCCTTAGGCTTTCTTCTAGGTGATCTGAACTGCTTGTGCTTAAGTTCTTAACTCTGGCTCCACTACACAATTTGCACTTGTAAGGCTTTTAAAAATTCTTTTATTGGTGCATATTAATTACACACAACAGTGGGATTCATTGTGAAATATTCATACAAGCGTAGAACACAATTTGATCAATTTTACTTGTAAGGCTTTTAAAGCACAGCACCAGGACCCCACCTCAGGTCTACTTAGTCCAGATATGTGGGATGAAATCTTAGCCCATATATATTTATGCATTTTTAAAGCTGCATGAGTGATGATTTTGTTTCATTAATCCATTGGTCAAAGTTGGATCATTGACCAATGGATCAGTTTAATTTAAATTGTTAAAAGTAGACTAGGTGATAAAGATTAACTATTGCAATGAAGTAATAAATAAAGACCCAGCTAGAAAGAAATATCAATAGGACCAACTTATACACCATCTAACGTAGTGCTTCTCAAACTTGAGTGTTTTTATGGATCCACTGATGATTATGATAAAATGCAGATTGGGACTCAGCAGGTCTGGAGTGAGGCTAGTTCCTGTATTTCTAATCATCTCCCAGGTGATGCCAAGGCTCCAGCCTGCCAACCACACTTTGTATAACAAAGAGTTCAATCTGGGGGTTGTAAATATCCATGAAATAATCAAGAGATGAAAGCTGAAATCTTAATACTGTATTTCAGAGCAGTCTGTTTCTCAGAGGTTTCTGACATCTTCCCAACTTGAATGGCACAGTTTTGGTAATGGTGGCTGCTGGTCTCCTATCACCCACACCTTCATCCCTCTGTATAGCCCTTGCAACATTGCTGAGGATGTCAGAAGTTGTTCTGTGACAGATTTTGGGTGTCAGTGATGTTTAATAAACCCAATTAAAAAAAAGAAATTTCATTCATTGTGTACTCTTGTTTTGTTTTTTTTCTTTCCAGGACATAATCATGGTTCTTTGCACAGAGAGGAAGTAATGACTTTTAAAGCCATGCAGCCGCCAGTCCATGACTAACTTGCCCTAAGGAAGGGTTTCTTCCCTCCCCAAGGGGACTCATCTTGCTGCCATTACAACTAAAGACTAAGTACAATTTCATTATGATGATCATTGCTATCTGAATTTCTCTGAAACAAAATGGATTGATTAATAAATAATGAATACTATTAGTAAGACACTGCAATTTTCTTTTAGGTAGAAATTTATATTGGAAGTTTAAAAACCAGATCAAAAGGCACTAGGAAATTTCCAGACTGAAATAAAAAATGGTGAAGTAAAAATGGGAAACTTTTCTCAGTTCAATGTAAACATGTAAACCAAGCACATCCTAGACAGTGATTAAAAATGACTTTAATGATGTTATTTGTGCCCATGTATTTTTGAAAGATACTCACTGCTATGCTTCCTTCTGGGAGTTTAGCTGGCTGATCTTTATAAGGCATCTTCTTAACTTCAAAGGACACCATGGATGCAAGAGCATAGGGATCATTTTTTCTCTGAAAGTAAAAATATTTATTTAAGTGTATTTCCTATAAAGCATTTAAAAGTTCTGTTGGTAGCCACTTAATTGTTTTCAGTGTCTCTTTTACTGTTTTTCCCCCTTCCTTCCATTCACTCATCCATCCATTCATATATCTATCCATCCATCCAAAAATCCATTCAAACATTCATCCATCCATTCATCCATACAAACACCCAATGGACCATTGGTGTTTACATATATACATGTATGTATATATGGCATATATATACAATTCATGCCCTTTCTATTTTTAAAGATAATTTATCTTATTAATTAAAGACTTATATATAAGATTAATATGAAGCAGAAAATCAGGGTCCTAAAAAATGCACAAGGATTAATATAGTTACTGCCAGTAAAGTATAAAGGGCAGACACGATGTGTTACAAAATTCTTGTTATCTGACAGAGGATAATATTGTGTACTTAGTTCATAAGAAATGTATTGCATGTCACTTTGTACTGAAGACCCAGAGCCAGGTTTCTCAGCTTCAATGCATGCCTTGCTACCAGATGCCCCAGTGTGAAAATCAAAAATGCTTCTAGTTATTCCCCAATGTCCCCCCAGGAGCAAAATTGCCACAGTTAAGAACCACTGACCTACAAGCATACAATGTTTCTGATAGACTGTTTCCAAAAGTTCTCTTTGTTTAATTGGTTCTTATATTAATTTTTATTTATTTTTAGTATTTAATACATGACAGTAGAGTGAATTTGACATCTTATACATACTTAAAATATAACTTATTTAATTAGGATCCCCTTCTTGTGGTTGTACATAATGTGGAGTTTCACTGGTGGTGTATTCATATATGAACACAGGAAAGTTATTTCCGATTAATTCCACTGTCTTTCCTATATCCCATCCCTGCCTTCCTTCCCTTTATTCAGCTTTGTCTAATCTGCTGTACTTCTGTTCTTCCCAGCCCTATCTCCCCTTATTGTGTGCTAACATCTGCACATCAGAGAGAACATTTGGCCTTTGGTTTTGGGGATTGGCTTATTTCACTTAGCATGATAGCCTCCAGATCCATCCATTTACTAGCAAAAGTTATACAGTCAAGACCTCTACAATGAAAACTACAGAACACTAGAGAAGGAAATTAAAGAAGACCTTAGAAGATGGAAATATCTCCCATGTTCTTGGATAAACAGAATTAATATGGTCGAAATGGCCGTACTACCAAAAGTACTATACAGATTCAATGTAATTCTTATTAAAATTCCAAAGATGTTCTTCATAGAAATAGAAAAAGCAGCCATTTTTTTTTCTTTTATCCATTCATCCACTGAAGGACATCTAGGTTGGCTCCACAGTTTAGCTATTGTGAATTGTGCTGCTATAAACATTGATATGGCTGTGTCCCTCTAGTATGCTGTTTTTAAGTCTTTTGGATATAGACCGAGGAGAGGGATAGCTGGGTCAAATGGTGGTTCCATTCCCATATTTCCAAGGAATCTCCATACTGCTTTCCATATTGGCTGCACCAATTTGCAGTCCCACCAGCAGTGTATGAGTGTACCTTTTTCCCCACATCCTCACCAAAATGTGGCATATATATACAATGGAATTTTACTCAGCAATAAAAAAGAACAAAATCATGGCATTTGCAGGTAAATGGATGGCACTGAAGAAGGTAATGCTAAGTGAAGTTAGCCAATCCCCCCAAAACAAATGTTGAATGTTTTCCCTGATATAAGGAGGCTGACTTATAGTAGGGAGGGGGAGCATGGGAGGAATAGATGAATTCTAGATAGGACAGAGGGGTGGGAAGGAAAGGGAGGGGCAGGGGGTTAGCAAGATGGTGGAAAGTGATAGACATTATCCATAGTACATGTATGAAGACACGCATTGGTATCAACATACTTTATATACAACCAGAGATATGAAAAATTGTGCTGTATATGTGTAATAAGCAACTCAATGAGACCCTGTCTCTGAATAAAATACAAAAACAGGGTTGGGGATGTGGCTCAGTGGTTGAGTGCCCGTGAGTTCAATCCCCGGTACCAAAAAAAAAAAAAAATGAAGGAGAAATCACACTGCCAGACCTCAAATTATACTACAGAGCTAGAATAAAAATGGCAAGCTATGGGCTCCAAAATAGACATGAGGACTAATGGAACAGAATAGAAGACAGAGACAAATCCACATAAATACACTTATCTCATACAAGACAAAGGTGCTATTAACATACATTGGAGAAAATATAGCCTCTTCAACAAATGGTGCTGCGAAAACTGGAAATCCATAGATAGTAGAATGAAATTTAACTCTCACCCTGCACAAAATTCAACTCAAAGTGACTCAAGAACCCAGGCATTAGACCAGAGACCCTGCACCTACTAGAAGAAAATATAGGCCCAACTTTCTATCATGTCAATTTAGGAACTGAATTCCTCAGCAAGACTCCTAAAGCCCTAGAAATAACATCAAGAATCAATAAATGGGATGGTATCAAACTAAAAACCTTCTTCACAGCAAAGAAAACAGTCATGTTAACTGTTGATTAAAGTCAAAGGGAAAATATTTGGGAATAACTTAGGAAGGTTGCTTTGAGAACTTATGCTTCTGTGACTCTCCTCCACTTGAAACAGTGACTAAACCCAATGCTGTGCTAGAGCTGGCCTCATAATGGCTCTTGACAGCCAATTGCTAAAATTTCAAAAATTTTGGTGTCAGTTGTTAAACAAAGACATTATTAAACCTTCAATGTAGATGTAAGTCCATTGTATTTCTTGGAAGGTAATGAATATTCAAAACTCAATACCTTATCATTTTTATTACATTTTCCTATTATCTATGCTCCTAATGCCATTTATGACTAAATATCATATTTATAATAGTGTGCTACTGGGCATCTCTTCCCAGCTCTGTATTCACTGACATCATGTTGGTAGCCTGAAAACAGCCATGATGAAAGCATTTACACCATGGAAATCAACACAAGCTATACCTCAGAGCTTTTTTTCTCCCCTCCCAAAGAGCAGTTCAGTTTATTAAACACTTACTAGCACATCACTATCTAAGATTCAGTGCTGGGTCTCTGGAGGCCAATTCAATAATCTGGATTGTAATAATTTTGTTCATATATTTTTATGAAGCTTATTTTTTTCCTACAGCTGAATTCTCTTTCTCTTTGGTAAATCCTATTTTCTGCCTATGATAAGGACAAGTCAAAGGATACAAATTTTACATACTTAAAGTTACTATATATTTGGCTTTTTTTCTTTCTAGCTCTTCAGGGTAAATAGCTCCATTCATTTGGAAAAAATTCTTTTGAAAGTATCATTCTTCTGCTGTTCACTTCTCTGCTGATATTTCCATTTTAACTGAAAGTTGGTTTTTTATTTCTATCTTTGAGAATTTTAAAAAATAAAGTTTGGAAATCTTTGCTTATAAAATCTTCTGTGTACTTGGCAATTTCAATCTAATTCCTTACCATCTTCACTGATAGACCCAGGGGAAATTTTAGCCTGGGGATTCTGTGTATGTGAAGATTTTTGTTGAATACTCAAGTACATGTCTATGCTCCCAAACCCCAAACAAAGAAGCTTTTGTTCATTTCCAAGTTCACTTTAAAAAATTGGTAGAAAATCATATTCCTTCACTTGAGGTTGTATCTTTGGCAAACAAACTGTTCAAGACCTTCCATCTCTGCATCTATTCTAGATAAAATAGATTTCCTCTTACTTGATTTTCTGCATTTATGAAAGAATAAAATATGAAAGCTTTTTAGCACATAAATGATGAGGGTCAAACTCTAGAATGCAGAATGTGGACACTATATTTCTCTAAGAAATTTTCCTTTCCTCTTCCCTTCATCCCTCCCACTGTTGACCACAGTTGGTTTTCTCACATTTCCATTCATCCCCAATCTTTACTGTTGTTTCTGGTGGTTCATAAACCACTGGACCTTGTTGGGCTTCAGAAATGTCTGAGATCCATCTTAGAGATTCTGATTAATTAAGTCTGGGATGAGAACATATTTGAATAATTTTTGGAACTTTCACATTGTGGTTTAACTTTTTGATTTTTAAAAATTTTACCGTCGTGAGATGTATAATGATGTTTTTGGTCATCTACGGACCACGTATATGATGGTAGTCCCATAAGATTATATTGCCTAGTGGCATCATAGTGGCCTTCATTTAAGTATATTATGTTTACACAATGATGATATTGCCTCCTGAGACATCTCTCTGAGTGCATCTCTATTATCTTTTTCATAAAATAATGTTAAATGATGCCTAGGTTTACTTTTATCTCCAACTAGATGGTACAAATCTTCCATGGCACCTAGAACTCTGCACTAGGGCTTAATTGATATTGGTTGATGGACCACCTGAATAGAGGATGACTTAAGACATCTAATGATTTGGCTGTTTGATGATCCTATCCCATGTACCAGTCATTTGAGAGCACCTTATAAAAGGCTTAATGTTTTCAATTACTGAATTGGATGTGCAACTTTACCTTAACTGAATTAGGAAGTTTGGGAAGTCTTAAGAAAAGGTCGTGATATATATTGAGGGCTGCAGTTCACGATGAGGTCTTACCTTCATTATCTATTCACCCATGCAAACCAACACAACCTAGGGCCTGAGTCAGTTAGGAGGTAGGCAAAGAGTCTGTAAAGACTGAAACTCCTACATCAGCTTGTTCTTTGTTTTAAATTCTCCAAAAGCAAAATTTCTTCTATCCTTTATGGCAAATAAAAAGGCATTTTAAAAAAAATTCCCTGGAGTGCCAAGGAATGGGAAATGTGTGTTATTAGGCCATGATCAGCTGGGTTGATGTCAAAGATCTTAGTTCTGCATTATAGGTCCAAGGTGTGGCCTGGGCGAGTATTTAACTTATGAGAAATAATTATGGGCAGTGTTACGATATTGATTCCCTGTTTAAAATTGAATGCTTTCAATTGTGCTCTTTACAAAACAAGTATAATATTCTCACATTAAAAGTAATCTCCTA